ACTTGGCATCAATCATAAAGCCACAACTCATTGTTCTCTGTCGCCACCAAAGTCTCCTCTGTGCATGACATTCGAAGAATCTGGCACCAAAGCAGAATCTATAGTTTCTCGTCTGTCAAATCAGCGGACTTGTATTTATTTTTAAACAAGCCCACCAGGGAATAAAACTACTCTAACCAAAGAAGGCGGAGAAGACAAAACGTGAATAAAAGCATATTTAATCATATACTTGAAATATTCACCTACTGTATTTCCAGAGTTGGATTCCCAGTAGCAAACATGTGGCATCCTGCTACGATCCGCAAATCAATGAGATAAATTTTTATTAGCTGCTCATTCTTGTCGGACGAAGAAAGGTTTGGACAATTGTAAGAATTTATGTATTATGGTTTGACAAAACATAGGTGAATTTTGTGCCATGAGGAACAATTCTAGAAAGACAAAAGGGAAAAGAGGAACTAAGATGTAAAGGATGAATAGGAACAAAACTTTGTGATTTTTTTTTTTTCTTTATATGCGATTTGTTTTTTATACTGATTTCTCTCTTTCTCTTCTTTCTCTTTACTACACACACACACATATATATATATATATATATATATATATATATATATAAAAGATATTTTTGTAGGTACAAAATTTAATCACAGAAATAAACGTGTGAAGCTTGATATTACCAGACATATTAAAAAAGGGCAAAGCAACCGGTTTCACTCCTGATCTTCAGGCTTCCACGGGAGATTTAATTTAAATTAAAAACACAGAAAAATATACAATGAAAAGGAAATGTGGAGGAAAGAAAAAAAAATATGAACACAAGGAGCTAGAGACAAATGACAGTGAGTCCCAACAAACATTCACGTGATATATACAGGCACATGGCAGAGTGGTTAGAATGTTCACTTTCTAACCATGAGACCCAGGTTTGAATCTCATCACTTCCTGATGTTCCTGGAAGTGAATGGGGGGAATTGTGATCCCCGCATGGGACACCTTTGGAAAGTGCCTGAAAACCATATCATGGGTTGACCCAAGCCTTGTGAATGAAATTGGGTAGATGGAACACTTGGGGGCTGTCGATAGCTGTGCTAGCATGAAGTCGCAAGTCATCGTGACTGAGGGTTTGAATGCGCTGGCCTTGTTCAGATTGTTGATCACGCTAGATAACATGCTCTCTCTCAGAAACTCTAAGGTCTGCTCAGCATAGTTGCAGTATAAACCACAGGTTGGGTCTAGGAGTGTTGAACAAACAAAAAATGTACCTGAGTGAGCATCTGTAGTAGGGATTGGCTAGCTGCCCTAGTAGACAGGTATCCTAAAATACAAGTTGCCAACTATTATATATATATATATATATATATAAAAAGAAAGAACAGTAAGATATATAATCCGGTGTTCTTATAGATATTTTTATTTTTACAAAATAGTGCTCAATGTAAATTTACAGATCATTAATATTATAAATTTATTGATTTAAAATATGGTTTTTCTGCTACACAGTTCTAACCAGATTTCAAAATTAATTTAATTACAAAATTAAATTCGAAGCTTTTAGCTTCCATTTTTGAAACATGGTTAGAACTGTGTAGCAGAAAAACCATATTTTAAATCAATTAATTTATAATATATTATCAAATGGATTAAATCCGATAAATATTTAACATTTTTTCCGTTTATACATTATTTTTATAGTTATAATTTATGTAATGTTCTGTTTTTTTAAGTAAACAGTATTAATTACATTTACTGGCCTGAATGTTTGACAAATTTTGTAGAAAATATGTGCTCTCTGACAGGAATCGAACCTGTAACCATGATGAGAATCATCATTTGATCTGACATGCTGTTAAGCATTCAGCCACAAAGAAGCATCTGGTTACCAAAGTCTGAATGACTCTTTTTAAACACACATCTTCAGTGATATTTCTTGATCAATCATTTCTGCTCATGAAAAATGTTTATGTAAAGACAATAACAACATATTATTAAATGCATTAAGTCTGACAATTATTTTCTGCTCATACATTATTTTTTATAGATATAATTTAAGTAAATGCTCTGTTTTTTAATTGTTTAGAATTGTTTAATTTGCACAAACTGAGTTAAGTATTAAAAGTATCTGTTGTGATGAAATAACCTGACTTCCCCATTCACCATAAATGGACGTTCCGGTGGCCGATAAAGTTCGACCACAGTAAACAGTCGAGAGAGCGACAACAAAGGTCTTCGTTGACTACACCATTTTGGTTAGCTTACTCCTACTCTGTCTCTGTATTTTGACATTCCTACATTCTGATATAAAGTATTATTATTTAAACCACCACTCGGGTTTACTTTGTTATTATATCCTTTTGCAAGATATAACGACTGGCGATGAAATATAACAGTATCAAAAGAAGAAAAGTACTGGACTGCCATGCAATATCTATCATCCTATAAAGTATTGGATGATGGAGAATTTCCTCATAGATGAAGAGATTTGAATCAGCCAAAACATGGACTTAATTAGCCTAGCCAGATGAAGACTCTCATATGGATGTAATGAATGGCATTCAACTTTATACACCCCTTTTCTCAGACCATTGATTAAATATATGGTCAGAGTTCTTTAATCCAATACTCCATGGTCTGTCAACTTTCATGGTCTGGTACTTTTTTGAATCAGCAGCCATTTTTGTTGAGTTGTTATGAGGGTAGTGTCTCATGTTTTTTTACAACTTTCCTCAACAGCAGCAGAGTGCTTTTGTGATATGGGCTTGCTCATTTCTTATATTTACCCATTCAGGATAGTAAGTATATATTAATTTCTGGTTTTAGGCTTTTGTTTTAGCCTTTGTCTTGAATGAAACACAAAAAAAAAGACCTTTGTTTAGGAGCATTAATGGTCATTTTATTTCCTCTTTTAAACTTTGTCCTGTCTTTGATAACAGAGCAATAAATATGTGTAATGAGCTGGCAAGACTGTTTAAATGTTTTTTTTTACCAGTGATTTCTGTCACATGGCATTTTCCATGTTTCAGCAGTGGCCTGGTTCCAAGCGTACTGGATTAAAGAAGTCAGATTGTAGCTTCAAGCAAATTGTTGCGGGGCATCAAGCAGGCGCTGTTAACCACGCAAGTAAAAAAAAAAAATTTTTTTTTTATCAAGGCAGTTTTTTGTATAACTAAGAAAAGTCAAGACAAGCAGATTTTTGACTCACTTCAAATTTTACATTCGACTGCTACACAGACTCTCACACAGAGTCACACTGACTACTAGATGCATTGTCCTCAAAGATGTCATAGTAGACACAGAATGTAAAGAAATATTTAACAGAAAAATGCTTGGTTTATTTCTAAAGTGTGTTACTGGAGGGATACAAAATTTCTAGAAATAATAAATATGTTTAAAAGCTGGATCTTTGGAGATTCTTAATTTGATATGTTTTAACAGCTGTATAATTTTTTTTATCTTTCTCCATAAATTATAAGTTAATTAAATTTTAATTTAATCATTTTAAGTTTGTAATTCTAAAACTTCATCCAAATTATAATTCATTTATTTCTGAATATTCATTCAAATCATAACAAATCAAAATAATATTTTTGTTTAATGTGCTGGCTTTGCTTGCAAGATGTAAATAAGAATTTGGTATTCCTTGACAAAATGCAGCAAGTGCTTGCTGAGTGGGAAACGTATACATTATTCATGGATTTTCACAATTGGTTTCGAGAACATACAATCATCTATATAAAGGGTGTTCCAATAACTTGGACTGATTTTAAACTTAATTCACATTTAAAAATTGACCCAGGTTATGTTTATCAGAAGCATGTTTGTAAGTTTTTTATTTTGTTGCAGTAAAAATTTTGACAAAAATGAAAACTATTTTAACATTCATTAAATAATTTACTGCATGTTTAGATACCATTTCCTCATCCAAATAAGCAAAATTTGAGACTAATAATAACCCCCAATGCAGAATTTTTGAAACCCCCCCCACCATTTCTTCTCTTATATACTGTGTTCCTTCAGGTCGTTGATGATTATGGCTGTTCACAACTTCATAGTTCTTTGTAGCTCTTAGTAAGGTTTGACTTTTTGCTATATCTCCTTATCACTGTTCCACCAACCATTTACACAAGCTTGTTAGGTTGGTTATTTGCTGCTTTTCTCCTTTGCCGTCAATGTCTTTTGTGTGTCAAATTCTCTAAGCCCTCTTACCTTATTGTTTCCACTCCAAAGTTATTCCAACCCACCTTTTATTCAAGACCTGATAGTAAGTATATGTGCAGTTATATAAGTATTTTCACTTAACAAGGTATTTCCTAATAGTTTTCAAAACAATGATAACCAAGAGGAAATGAAAAGCACCCTGTCTTATAGTTTTGAGGGTACATCCGTGACACTGGAGATGCATGTGTAAAAATGTTATTTTTACAACTAAGACTGTTGATTAGCAATGCTTAATTCCATTGGCTGCATGAGAACGCTGCTTCTTATATGTAAATTTCATGCAATGAATAAGCAAAAACCACAGAGATCCAAAGAGAGATCCAATAGACACAGTGGAACCAGCCTAGAAAATGAAGTTCAGCTCCATCTGAAGAATATCACCATGACAGTGTTTTAATTAGAGATTCCTTTAGTTATTTTGGTTTTTTTTTGTGTAGTTCTTACTACTACTGCAGCCGTGCTGACATTAGATAGTAGAAAGACTATAAAAAGAAAAGAAAAGAAAAGAAATCTATTTACAATATAAGGTAAAAGCATTTTGATAGCATAGAAATGATCAGTCAGTTGGAAACAATACTCAAAAGAGCAAGACATTTTGCGCAAAGATGGAAGATGTTCTCATATCTAGTATCTTTCAATAATTCTAAACACTGATAGTGTCCTTTTAATAAAAAAGAAATAATATATTAAGCTGTCCTGTGGTGAGACACATAGTATAATAATCGACAATAACTGAAAGGATTAATCAAATAGAACGTCCGGATAAATGGAAAAGTGGCACTTACCTGTTGAGGGAACACTTTCCAGGCCATATCAATAGCTTTCATCATTACCTCTGGAAATCAAAAGCATAATTTTATATAAAATAATGAAAGATATATTATCGTTAGAAGATTTAGTTTATCAGTGCATAAATCAAAGATGACTTTATATATCAATTTATAATAACAAATGTCAAATACAAAAACGTTATTGAACACATTGCTCAATCTATAATATAAAATGCAGAGCAATATTTAATATAAATAAGATAATTTACTTCACTTTTTCTGTACCTCTGATTCATGGTTTCATATGCTATCATTATTTTGAGGTGAAAGCACAACCCACAGGAAGTTTTTCTTTCTAATTATTTTACTGTATTTTCCAAATTTCAATTAAAACATTTTGATCCCAATGTACATTTTATTTGAAAATTGGAAAAATACAATAAAAAAATAAACAAACCTTGCCAGATGACCTACAATACATAAGAGTATACAAAACTGCAAATTGTAGATATAGCAAGAGCTAAGTAAATTATCTTTTTTATATATATATATATATATATATATATATATATATATGCATGTATATCTTTTATGCATCTTGCTTAAAAACAATTAAAATTCATTGTTAATTATATTTTTTTTTACTTTTACATTGCTTCTATGCATTTTTCTGATTTTCTAGTTCATATTTGTAAATATATCTTTGGCATGTGAAAGCATTTTTGGCTCACACTGATTTTCCAAGACTTATTTGTTTCTTCTTGTCATCTTTTCAGTTTTTTTTAAAGTATTGCATTTCATGTGTTGTCATTCATATTTCCAAGCAACCAAAGATCAACAAAATTAAATCATTACTCAAATCCAACATACTAAATATGTTTCATTTAAAAAAACAAAAAAACAAAAAAAAACACAATCTCTCAGGTGAATATGTGAAACACAATTTTCAAAAGAATTAAACAGATGACATTACAAACTGCAAAAATGTGCTTGAAAATGGCTAATATTAGCCAAAAGTACTTATACATGGGAAAATATATTCGCAAATATGAAAGAGAAATCCAGAAAATTATTAGAGACACTGAAAAAGAAAATAAAAAAAATTAATCAACAAGGAATTTTCATTGGTTTTATCAAACATGTATAAATGAAAAATTATTTTCCAAATACTTCATATATATATATATATATATATATATATATATATATATATATATATATATATTTGTAGCTTATCTACAGAGGATAATGGGTTTGTCCCAATTCATTAAATACAGTAGTAAATACTGAATGCTGGTCTGCAGTTGGAGATTCATTGTAAAATTCACTTGACTCAAGTTGACTACTTCTTTTACACATCATTGGTCAATCTCATATGTGTTGTTCTTGTCCTAAGTATTATCATTCATTACCAACCTTCATTTGATTATTCTATTCAATAACCTTCTCTAGGTTACAACTTATATATAATTTTATCATTTTGAATATATTTGAGTAGACGCTCCAATTATATATTAAACTGTATATTTATTTATTAGTGTCTACCAGCATCAATATTCAAGAAACTTTTTTAGTCACAGTTCTTCAAAGACTTTCATATCTGTACAGTTTTGTTTCCAAACATGAACATAGTGATTTTTGTAAAGGAGAGAGAAGTAGAATAGATAACAGTTGACCATAGGCTTGAAGGGGTTAAGATTATAGTGATCAGGTAAGCATCATCACCAGAGTCTGTTCTTTAGAAGAAGCTGTCCAAATGGAACTACCTTTTTACCAATGGCATATGAAGGGAATATGGATCATGTAAGTTTTAGTTGTGAAGGTCTGAACTGGTAGAACTAATGAATGTAGCTCCTCTGAACATTTGTCATGGAAATAGCAATGAAGTAGTGACAGGTTTGTGATAAGAGATTGTAGAATAGAAAAATAATTAATCAGTCACATAATGCTTTTGAACTCTATCAAGTCTGGAAAGTAGACTGTGCAGCCCTAAGAAATAAATAAGATTCACAAAGCCAAGTATTCTGCATAGTTCCTATCACAACAACATCATATTTATTCTAAACATCTTTTTCAATTCAAAATAACTAAAAGAAAGATATAAGGAAAATTTTAACTAATTCCCTGTTTACAATTTCATGTCAGGTGAGGTTTCTAAGAATATGATTTTTATGTATACGTTTAAAGTTTTCAAATGATTCATTGATATTAATTTTATTTTTAAAATATTAAAAATAATATAACTTGGAAGAATATAAAAAAGAGATTGTCAAAAAATAAAACCTACATATATTTCTGCAAACCTACCATAAATTTATTGTTTTGCAAACACATTTCGTTAATGCAATGTCATAACAAAAAACTCCACATGACATGTAACTGTGAATGCGTGTGTGTGTGTCTGTATATATATATATATATATATATATATATTATATTTAGTTTATGAAAAACTAGGTAATCCGTATGGGTAAACCCAAGGAGGATAAAATTCAGAGAGTTCAATGTAAATCCAGAGCAAATAATTTAAATGTGTCAATGTCTGGACCTCCTCAAGTAATTTTAAGTATGATAGAATAGAAATTTTAAATTACATCTAACTCACTCATGTCTTCTCTCTGCCCCTTCACTTCCTCACTTCGTTAATTTACATATGCTTAATACGGCCCATCAGAAATGTGTAAATTTCTTTTCATTTTTTGTTTCAACCTTTGGAAGTAAAGTCTGATGATCCGCAGTCTTTTAAAAGGGCTGTGGTGAAATAATTTATTACACGGAACCTTAAAGTGGTCTGTTTTTATTTAAATTAATATATATATATATATATATATATATATATATATATATATAGAGAGAGAGAGAGAGAGAGAGAGATATTGAATATGGATAGGAATCTGACAAAATGATAGGATAAAGAACAAGTAGGAAACAGATCTTAATCTAACATGTTTCACTTTATTAAAGCTTCCTCAGAGATCAAGACAGAAATGATGAAATTGATATGTATATTTATATATATTATATATATATATTTATATATATTATTATATTTTTATTATAAGTAAATAGAATAAAAACATTTTTAAATCACAACACAAAAGCTTTCATGTTTCAATACTTTGATTGTAATTCTTCAAGTGATGGTAAATTATATGCAAGTTTCGTTAAAAATGACTGACAAGGTGTTGTGGTTAAGTTTTTATATAATTTTCATGTGACCTTACAAATTTTGAACGTAAATTATATAAAGATAAAAATTATATAACAAACTCATAACATCTACAATGTAGGATCCTTGAAAATTAACAAAATTATTGGAGGTTATCAACCAGGATTCCTATGCAGAAATGTTAAAATACACAAACAGGCAGATCCATTATGACCTATTATTTCACAGATCTCAAAACCTATATACCAATTGTCAAAATTCCTCAATGATATTTTTAATCCATATCTATCTACCAATTATAGCATCAAATCAACTCATAAATTTCTTCACATCCATAAGAAACTATAAAACCAAACTAAGGCACTGAAGCATAACTTGATGTAGAAAATTTATTTACAAATGTGCCTATCAACCAAAACCAATGATGTAAGCCTTAACTCTGTATAGAAAAATAATTCAATTCCACCTCAAACCTAATGTTTTTAAAAAAATTATTGCATGCCTGCACAACTAAAGTCTGCTTTTATTACTATAACAGCAAAACTTACATTCAAACTAATGGAGTCAGTATGGGAAATCCTCTTGGTACATGCTTCTATAACTATTACATGTTTCACATATAAAACATGGTATTAAAAAAAGTTACTAAACCAAAAATAAATATCTGCTATGTAAACTATTTTTATTTTAGCTGAGAACAAAAATGAGGTGGAACTCAAAACTACCTTTGAAAAATTTTTTTCCTCATCTTTACCTATGAACTTAACCAAAGAAATTCTCATTCTTGGATGTTCTTGCGGAGTCTAGTAATAATACCCTTCTTTGTTATGTAAAAAAAAAAAAACCAAAAACTCTTGCCAACTTAATTTTAATAGCCAATGCCCTCTCAGATATAAAATATGGGTAATTAAAATTTCGTCATGAGAGCACATGAGAATTCATCCTCTTGTTCACTTTTATTTAAAGAACTTAAGGACAGGAAACAAACGTTTGTTAATAACAGTTTTCCAAACATCTTATAGATTACCATATTAGATTTTTTCTAAGTTAACCAATAGTAACAATGAACATACTGAAAAAAATAATAACATTAACAATTTCTACAAAAATAAAATGCATAGTAACTATAAGCAAGATGAATCTTCATTTAGAAACATTATAAGTGAGTATAAAATGGAAAAATTCACTCAGACTTCTTAAAAGACAGAGAGCAAACAACATATTCTTCTGATGAAGTGTTGGTTGAAAAGAATGTTTTAAGAAGAATGCTTTCCTGTACTTTTAAATTTCCCTCTCTCTCATATATATATATATGTGTGTGTGTGTGTGTGTGTGTGTGTGTGTGTATATGCATGTGTGTCTGTGTGTGTATGCGTGAGGGGTACCTGAAAAGTTCATAGACTGACCAAGATATAAATGTAATAAACAACAGCAGTTGGTAGGGTAAAAGATATGCCAGTGTGTCAGAACACAACAGCTATATAGATATAGATAGATTTGTTATGAAATATGGACCAAATTCCACTATATTTTTGGTCAAGTTTAGTTAAATAGTTATTTGCCAAAGGCAGATAGCATCTTTCTTTTTTACAAATAAGATCCAAAAGAAACCAATAACCATCAATTGTAAGAAAAAATGTATGGACATTAGGAAGAGGAACAGCCAAAGATATGAGCTATGAAGTGGAGAAGACAGAATCAAGCAACAACAGAAATTCAACTATGCAGGAAGCATTATAACAGATAGAGGGAAATGCATTGCATCATTGGAAAATCTGATGGTGCATTGTAATAATGAAAAATGTCTTCTAAAAGCTAAGCAAAATATTAGGAAACAGGAAAATGACACTGAAACCCAAGAAATGTGGGCTGAATATCGTAACATCAATATTCTGATATAGCATTGAATACTGAACAATTTCCTCACAGATGAAGCAAAAGAGTTATCGTACAAAAGAATATCATAGACAAAACATGAACAATGAGAAAGTTTTAAGGTCTTCAAGAGTTTGATAACACAAGATATATTGACAGGAAGAGGCAAACAGTGAATAAACTACCTGATGAGTTTGTGTAACTGGATATTTTTTTAATCATTACACCCCCAAAGCAATGTGATGATACCATTAAAATGCAACTAATTACTGAGAGTGAAAGAAAATGAAAAAAAAATATTAGTAATAAAAAGGTTTAAAAAGAAAAAGATGGCAACTGATGCTACATTTAAATTTTTAAAGATCGTAGTTGACAGGAAAGTGGGAAACCAGAAAAAAGTTCTATTAAAATAGAGCTTATGGTTACATCTTGCTATTTCAACAGTAAAATGATGAGACCTCTCTGCCAATCTAGTACAAGACTTAAATTCATGAAGTCGAGGTACCAAAGAGGAAAGCTCTTCAGAACAATTGCCATGAAAATATTTATAGAAATAGCACAGGGATGCTACATTAGGACAGTGACTGAAGCCGAGATATCAGGTCAGGACTGATAACACTGCAGATTCTTCACTGGGTTTTCTCAAGAATCTCAAGATTTATAGCAGAAGCACCAGACCAGATGTCACATCAATATTCAATCCTGGAACAAAGGTTACTCTTATTCAAGATAGATTTTGGTGAGAAAAAAAATCTGGTGCAGTTAGCCAAATTTCCTAGCAGCAGACTTATCAATTAATTCAAGATCTTCATTCAATTTCATGTCAGCAGGGAATGTTAGCCCAAGAAAACACAATGAGTCAGTGTAATGGAGGTTAGCATCAGCCATGCTGATGGGAGGCAAAATGGCAGAACAGGAACAGGGATTAAGGGGATATTTTTAGAGCTGCAAAGGATTGGAAGTTGTGGAGAGCTATGATTCTTAACATCCTGAAGAGACACAACACATAAAAAATTTAAAGGCTATCAATTTCATTTTTTCCCTTAAATTTTGTAACAAACAATTGAGAAATATGCCTATTACACTAACTGAACGAACAAAAAAATTACAGCAGCCATTAATTGCCCTTGGGTTCTATAAAATATATATCTTGTATTGACAGAAATCATCATTCAAAACTGAAACAGAGCAAAGCAACATAATGTATTAAATTAAATCCATCAGATAGGATTTATCTTTACTTCACCTGTGGAATAAGAGAATATGTGGTCATGAACTTGCTGATAAAGATTAACACTATGTAAATAGACTACAAAAAAATTCCAGGTCAAGTATTTTTCAAATTAATAAAATAGCCATTATCTGGAAGAGTTGCAAGCATAGAAAAAAAAAAAATTTCAAAACAGATAAAAGCAAACTAAACAACTCAAATTTGTCAGAAAATAGACAACTGATGTGTAGAAAATTTTTATTAGTAGAGATGAATGGAAATTTGAATTGTTTACTCTTGCATCCAGAATGTAGACCACGAGGAAGGTAGAGGTGATAGCCCATGGCAGTAAGGAGAGTGAATGGAAAGTCAACCTGAACAGATGAGACTGGTGAGCTAGTGAATTTTCATTGTCTCCTAACCTTCCTTAAGTCTCTTTTTGATTGATGACCAACTTGACAGAAGAATTCCCACAATGAGTCACCATTAGTTTCTGCAATAGACTGACTATAAGTTCAAGTTTGTCTCACTATTTAAACCACAGCTTGGGGGAAAAAAATTGACTTTTACTTTCTGAAGTGTATTTGCATGTGTGTGAATGTAACAAAATTAACTGGAATTCAAATTTGGCTTTCTATATATGAATCTTGTCAGAAGCAATTGTAAGGTATAAATACTAAAGGTAACAGGTATTTCACTAATAGGCAAATAAATCAAATATTGTAATTTCCAATTTGCATTATATAAATATATCTTGAAACTTTTACCAATGTCAATTGGTTAACACTAATTGTATTGTAAAAAAAATTGGCTTGCATAATAAAATCTGACGTACTGAAAGTTTGCTTAATTAAAGGGTAGACCCCTCCATTTATCATTTTCAAATTCTATAAATTTGTCAGACTTAAGTGCCACCACTGATAGCTTTTAAGCAAGCCAACAAAAGATCTCTGGCCAAGAACAAATATAAGCACAACCTACCTGTATACCTTGTACTACTCAGCAAAGATCGATTTTGAAAGCCAAACAGTTCAGCCAGCTCAGCAAATTCTGGAAACTTCTCGTCCCAACAAACCTGTTGATGCAAAAAAAAAAAGATTTAAAGAAAATTAATTTGTTACTGTCACATTTCCTATGACATATCTGGTTGGGATGACTTTCTGTTTATATGTTGTTACAGCTAGGTATCCTTTGAGGCTCAATTTGGCACTTGGTGACGATGAAAGTACCTTCTCGATCAAATCTGGTTATAGTAAATGTTTGATCAAATGGGGCATCAAGCCACGTGAAACTCTTTGATAAATGTTCATTATTTTTATTTTTCAACTGTGATCTCTGTTAAAAATGGCGAAAAGTAGATTTAGTTTTTAGTTGTTCAAAGTTGAAATTTCTAAGACATTTATGTAATACTAATATTTCTTAAGTCCTTTCAAAATATATTTCTAGTTCAGTTTAATATTATCTTGGTAACATCTAATAAGAATATGAGACTAAATATTTAAAGTGTTAAATTATTGTTGGATTCTGTCAAATTAATATCATCAGTGAAGGTGTCCTGTTTCAGAAATGGGCATTCAAATGTTACAAGGATGTAAGGGACTCTAACTCTTTCCCCTCACTGGAAGGGCTTTATATAACTTCCTGTTATTTGGTTGTTTTGTGTGTGTATATCCTAAATTCTGTTGGGCTGACTTGCTGTTTATATGTTATCATGGCCAGACATCCTTTGAGGCTGGATTTTGCACTTGGTGGTTATGAATATACCTTCTAAAACAACTGAACTCTTTTAAGGTTGTTGTGTGACACTGTTTTCAAAGCTAACTTTGGTATCTCTCAGGGTGAGCCCAGTACATAATGAAGTCACCGCATATCAACACCTCCAAACATTCAGGCTCTGGTATTTCCTGGCAATATTCACATACTACATCAGTGTTCTTTTTTTTTTTTTTTTTTTTTTTTTTGAAGAAACGATTGAAGTATGATGATCAATCACAATTTCTTCAGTCATATAAAAAATATTTTTTAATGATCTAACATTCTAATATACAAACTTCTTTAGGGTTAAATAACAATGCTGTTTGAGATATGATAATTTATACAATTCAAATGATGCATGAATATCTGAATGAAACAAGCAGACAACAATGACTAGAAACTAAAGCTGAGCTCAGAAAACAAGAATTAGCATTTAATGAGATGTAAATCTGTATTCCACATCCTCTAGAGCCAATTCAACCAGGATTGTGATTTAATGATTAGTCTACAAAATATAAGCAGCAGACATCATTGAAATTTATTCCCAATCCATGTCACTTGCTTATCACTGATAGAATATAAAAATATTACTACAAAAAAAAAAACAAAAAAAAACAGGAAAGATAAAATGAAAGAAAAACTAGTTAAAAATTCATATCAATAAATAATCAATAAAAAATAGGTAACTTAAAACTGATATATATATATATATACTGCTAATAGGTGCACAACAAATGATATAGTTCACAGTAAAATTGGATAATGAAGAATGTTGCTATATGACTTAAGGATATTGAATTCAAGTTCAAATCTTGTTAGAAGCTTTTCCTTTATTTCTACCCCATAATGTTTTGTTAACAGTTGTAATATGTAGAAAAACTTGAGTATTCTTATAAATTCCTAAAAATACCTGTGAATCCATGAAAATTTCATGGATTTTAACAATTAAGACATCATCATTAGCATATATACAGGTTGTCTCAAAATAATGTATACACTCTTTAAATATTAAGAGTTAATAATACATTACTGTGATGTGAGAACTTATATGGATGAAAATATGCAAAACAGATGGATTGGAAGAAGAGGGACAGTTGAATACCCACCAGGATCACCAGATTTGATACCCTGGGATTTCTTTTGGTGGGGGTTTCTAAAAGACACAGTTTACAGCAGGAAACCTGAAACAATTGCTGAAATGAGAATAGCAATTGAAGAAGAATGTGCTCAAATATGAGAGGAAATAAAACTGGACGTTTGTAGGTCTATTTCTTCAAGATAAGAAAAGTGTATTGAACAGAACGGCAACCAGTTTGAGCACTTCATGTGAACTAATCATTATATGAACATTCTGCCATTGCCCCAAGTAACTTTTATATTATTAAAGTTAATTTTCAATGTTTTTTTTTACTCTCAAATTCTTTAAATGTGTATTCTTTCTCTTGTATTAATCTTATTTACAAGTCAAAATCCATAAATTGAATAAGTTATAATGATTCAAAGAGTGTATACCTTATTTTGGGACACCCTGTATTTCTGCAATTACTGACAGAAATTGATTCAGATAACTGGGATCAACTAGCAATTTCTAGAAATTTCTCCAATGAACCCTTTGTTTTTCTGGATTTTAAATTTCCATGCATTGATATAAAACTGTGTTTCTTGAGCAGCATATGAGTCATTTAATGCCAAAATTTAATTTTCTTGGGAGCATTGATGATTTCTTTTACAAAAATATATTGCTGTTAATTTTTTTTTACTATGAAAATATATTGCTGGTAATTTTTACTATAAAAACCTATTTTTATAATGTCATAGTGTTTTGACCCCAGTTTAGGCGGTTAACTATTTGCTCATATCTGGGACCCTAACAGTTGCTATGACCACAGGTCAGAGTGAACCGGAGAACAACAGCAATTAAAAGGTGTTTCCATGCTTCTCAAAATTTCATTAACAGAGTCTTTGTTGCCATATATAGTTGATCATCATATCCAGGATTACATTGATATAAAATGTGGATTTTTTAAATCTTTTGAACAGAGTGGAAGTGACTGAAGAATTCAGTGAAAATGCAAATTAATACACATACAAAAAGAGATGAAACAATGTTAGAAACATACCAAAACCATTTTAGGATTAAGCCCGGATTGCATGATAGTAGTCTGAAATGTGTTTACAACAGCATTGTGGTCAACACCTGAAATAAAACAAACAAAAAAATATTGGTATCATATTGCAGTGGGTGGGTTTGTGTGTAATCTTACTTATTATAAAACACAGATTATGTGTGTGTGTGTCTGTACATTTATATATTGGATTGGATTTCCTACATTTTTCAACCGATTTCAACAAATCTTCACTTTTTTTTTGACAGGTAGTGTTTCTTATTGTCTTGCACACTTTTTTCTTTATTTTTACATTCAGAATGCTTTAAAAATTCCATTTACAAGACAATTGTTTATAATAAAATTCTATTCAATCGGTAGACTCATAACGATTGAAAACAATGTTTTTGTGTGAGTTTGGGTTTGACCAATTCGTAAAAAAAAAAATTATAATTAAGACGTGCGTGTCCGTCAACCTTAAACAATAATCATTGTCAATTTTATTTTTCAGTCTTTATGATGGTCGATACTTAATCTATCTCTGACTGTTACATCACCGGGCAATGCCGGGCTCTACTACTAGTTAATACTAATTGTGGTAAATTCATCTTAAGGGTGACAATGGTTTCTTTTTGGAAAGAACAGTATGTGCAAGAATAGATCTTAAGGGAACAAGGAGTTGCTATCTGTCTATATTTCTGAGATAAGGTATTGTAATTATTTACTTTGTTTGGACTGTTGTCCTCATCTTTATTGTCATGTTCACAATGTTTTGACCCTTGTATGCTCTGGCCTTCTTCAGGTGACTGGAATTTTGAAGTGAACACTTTATTTTGTCTACCAAAGTAGATTGTTCTAGTTCCATGTGCCATGCCTCCTCCAGATGTCTCAGTTAACTCACTTTAACTCCAAGATTTTGTTAACCACCACAGTAGCTAGGGACTGATCTTTAAGGACACATAGCTCAGTGGATACATGTGAGGGAGATAACTGAGATATTCAAAAGAGGCATGGCATGTGTAACTAGAACAATCAACTCTGATGTATGAAATAAAGGGTTCAGTTTGAAATTCCAATCAGCTCAAGAAGGCCAGAGCATACAACAGCTGAAATGTCATAAGCATGACAATGAGGACAACAGTCCAAACAATGTAAATATTGTAAGCAATATTAGCTATTTCCTTTGGAAACATATGGCATTCACTGATCAAACACCCAGTGTTACTGTCAGTTGAAATTTATGAATTCTTTCTCTTGAAACAATTTTTAAGGAAATTCGGTTTCTCAAGTCTGCTGACTGGTAACATTCTTTACAGTATTGAAAGGGATTTCCTTCCTAGCTTGTTGTTTGAAGTAGTGTGGAATGTCAACATTTTCATTATGTGATTATTTTCTCTTTGAGTTATATGTAATATCCATTTCAGTTTTGGTTGCTGTTGAAAGTTGTCAAAGGATGTGGTTTCTGTTATTTTTTACCATTCTTTGTGATTCTGTAGCTCCAGTCTAGAAGGTTCAAAGAAGCATGGTCTTCACATTTGGAATAATACATTCCCCTCCCACTCAGTCTGGGAAACTGCTATGCTGGGCCGAACAATAAAATCATAAATGTGAAGACAAGAAAAAGAAAAAATTTAATTTTTTGAACACTAAAGAGATCAGATAATTATAAGATATGTTGGACTTTTTTGAAATTATTTAGGAATAAATATTATTACTATGAAAGCTTTTTTTCTTTTTACTTCGGAGAGATATTTTTAGATCCATCATTAAATTAAAATATACATGCACATAGAGAACATGTACATAGAGAAATAATTTGAATGAAACTTAAACAACATCAGTTTCATGGAGACTAATTTCTCTTTTTCTCTGATAACAACCCTTGGATAACAGGGAAAGAGTATAAACAGAAATATTTACCCCTTTGTGTTGTAACCTAGGGAAGGTTATTGAATAAAATAGTCAAACAAAGGTTGGTAATGAATGATAATACTTAGGACAAGGACAACACATATAAAATTCGTCTGCATTTATAAAGAAGCAGTCAACAGCTAGAAGTGAGTCAAGTGAATTCCACAATGAATCTCCAACAGCAGACCAACATACAGTATTTACTACTTTATTTATGTGAATGGGAACATACCCATTATCATCTGTTGGTATGCTACAACACTTTGAAATTATTTTTATGATGTCTTTTGTATTTAAACTGAATATATTTTTTTTAATGAGTGTTGTATTTTAAATGACCAAATTTGGAATTTGAGTAAACTGCAGATACAAAACGAGTTAGGAATAACATATAATTGTTTACTTATGAAACTATACCTAAAATATAGTTATTTGTTGCAAAGACCCAAGCTCATCCCTGTTGATGCTCTGTGGGTGTTGAACAAACAAAAATGTGTCTGAGCAAGCATCTGCAACAGGGACTGGCTAGCCGCCCCAGCAGACTGGTATGCTAAGAAACAAGCATAGATCATTGTATATTTTACACTATATTCTTCACAAGAATTTTTTTTGGACAGAAAGAAGGGATATTGCCAAGAGGAAAAAAATTCAGATACCTGCTTCTTGGTGGAAACATGAAGAAATCAAGGGAAATAAATTCAACTCACCTGGAATAATGACAATAGGTGTTGTGAATATCTTATGACCTCTAAATGTATTATCAACCAGGCTGACTGGTTTAATCATGTCATCAATATGTCCATCTGCAATTAAATGAAAATACTGGGTTAACATTTTGCCATAAAGTCAGCCTTAATATAAAAACAGGAAAGAAAAACCAGAGAAAAACAGTAAATCAGGATCAGGCAAACCTGCAACCCACCTGATTATTTTATACAGCTTGCAAGAGAACAACAAACATTTTATCAATATCCATTTTGGTATTATTTGATTACATGTTTACCTGATTATTTTATACAGCTTGCAAGCGAACAAATATTTTATCAATATCCATTTTGGTATTATTTGATTACATGTTTCACAAAAGAATAATCTATTCAGGAGTAAACGTAATAAAGTTCTATGCTTACACGTTCTTCTCTTGCACATCTTACTTGTGGAACTCTCTGAAATTTAGGTGCTTCTTTATTATAACTGTCAATCATTAAATTATTAGAACTTCCAAATCTAAAATAATATTATTAAATAAAAAACAGTCATAAGATAACTGAAGAAATTGTTAATGTTCTAGTTGTCTGGTACGAAGATGGCAGGAAAAAAGATTTTAAATTATTGATAGCTAGAAATTTTTGCAACACACTGATGCATGTTAAAATCCTCACAGTATTTAGTATTGTTGACGTTATCACTAACATTTTTTGTCGAGATTTACAAACTCTACATTTCATTCAATTTTGCAAACCAATCAATGAAATTTGGATAAGCTGATTTGTTTAGAAAAATATTTTGACAAAAACCCTACTTCACGATTTAATAATTTCTTTAATTTCATTTTATAGAACTTCATGGTAAACAATAATTTTTTTAAGAAAATTTATTTTTTTCCTTTTTAACAGTGAAGAATAAATTCTTAGGATTTCTTACTCCTGAGCATGCAACATACAACTGGTCATGTGTAAATATTTCTTTCTGGAACAAGATTTCAACATTTTTAAGTGTTTGGCATTGTGATTTGTTTTCATGAATGCAGGGGAAACTGGAAACTGGATTCTTGTACATAAAAAACTTAAAGAAAAGATATTGCATTTTTATTAAATAAGTATTTGTTATTTTAATCATTAAATTATTTTTAAATTAGTGGAAGTAGTTTGCATGTTAAATAATAAAACTTAATTTTTCCAAAACAAAATAACTGTAAATTTATATTAGTATGCACCCTAGTAAAACCAACTGTACTTTTTATCCACTGATCTGCTTACACTTCTCCCCAGAATTTGATTTGCATCAGTCAATGTATGGCTATCTTAGAGGGTGTGGTGGACGGAATAATGGAAATCACAGAATATTGCATGCAGATTAAATCTATTCACCAGGATTAAACTATCAAGTAAAAAGACTTTACACAAGAAATAGTAGTTGGAAATCATTCCTGATCATAAAGAGAGGTATTAATGCTGAATTAAGATTTCCGACAAGAAATAAAAAAAAAAAAAAGAAGTTTAGCAAATATTCAAGTAATATGATCATATTTAAATATTATATTACTTTTCTATTTTTACTAAAATCTGACAGCAATCTGTTTATTTACTGATATTTCTAAGCTATTTGGACAAACATTTGAACTGCTTCTTTTTTTTAAACTTAAATTATAATCTCCATATTGGGTTTGTAACAGTTCTTCCTGCCAGTGTCTGCTTGTCTGTTATATACAACAACAATTGCACAAGTCTAAAGTTTCTGCAAAACTGAAACATTAACATAAAAACTTGTCATGTTTTTAAATAGCCTAGTCAAGTGTTACTAGCAGACAGAGAAAACAAATTACAAGAATTCTGTGAGAAGAAAGAACTAAACATCAATTGTATGATGACTTAATGCCAATGGTTGTTAGCAAAAGGAACAACATGACATGCAAATTACAGATTAGAGATACTGAAATCAAATAAGTGCAAACATTTAGATATCTGGGAAGCATATTAACAAAGGACAGAAGGTGCAAAATGGAAATCCAAAGGCACATTGGAATAGCAAAAGTTGCCTTCCAAAAGATGAGAAATTTATTAAGAAACAAAATTTTGTTAGAAACAAAGAAAAGAGTACTGAAATTTTATGCAATATCGGTCTTCCTCTATGTCAATGAATACTGGACAATCTACTCACAGATGAAGAAAAGACTTGAAGCAACAGAAATATGGTTCTACAAAAGGATGCTGAGAATATCAGACAAAAATGTGAGCAACAATGAAGTTTTAGATACAATGGGAACAAAAAGGATACTTATGCTTAACATCAGGAAGAGATATTTAAAATTTCTGGGGCATGTAAAGAAAGAGGGCTTAGAAAATTTAATACTCACAGGAAAGATTGAAGGTAAGAGAGACAGAGTAAAGTAAGACAAACTATCTAGTGAGCTTGTGAAAATGGATAGTGGGACAAGCTTTGGGAGAGAGAGCAAAAAGCAAAAATTATTAAGAGCTACAAAGGAGAGGAAATCATGGAGAGCTATGATCACCAACATCCTGAATAGACATGAATATAGAAGAAAAAGTCAAATGAATTTATTTCTACAGATAATATACATTACAGGCAAAAAGTTTGGGGCCCACTGTGCAGTTCTTAGAAAAAAAAAAAAAAAACACCTTAAATTATTTTTGTATTTTTTTTAAAGTAAAAGGTACTATTTCAGTAATTACAGTGTATTTGTTTTTATTTTAAAGAAAAGATAAGCACTTAACTATTAAAAACTATCATACAACAGCATCATATTTTTGTCAATAAAGCCATCACCTTCTTTAATTGCAGCTTCACCAATTCTTGGCATGTCTTTCCAACAGTCTTTCAAAAAAAAAAAAGTAGATGGTAGACCTCAAGCATTCTTCAAGCACTCAAAAAGCTCACTCTCATTCTTTGAATATTCTCTTTGATGTAAGAATAGCAAAAAATTCAGGGTACCCACCAAACCCTTTGGCACAGGAGAATTATGCTCATACTCATTTTTATAATTTGTTTTTTTCTCTCATTTTCTTTTTTGGTGGGAATGTCTTTTTTTTTTTTTCATATCCTTATTTTATTTAATTTTAAACTTACAAATATGTGTAGGTTTCAACTAATGAAATTAAAAGTGGATATGACAAACTAATATTATAGGGTAAAGTCATATTAAGTATTAAAAAATATTTTTCCAGGGCAACATCCACTGAGCAAATATGGAAAGAAAGAGGAAAAATGTATTTCTTTAATACGTACAGTCACAAAATTCCACATAACCTTCGTATTTTAAACAGAATTCACGTCTTGCATCATTACGATAAACCATGGGATCTGGTCGAACTTTGGTTCCTTTCACTGTAATAGACAGACAGACAGACAAATGAGGCAGATGAGATTAGAATGGATACAGTTAGTGATTGGTAGACAAAGACAATGATAGTAAATGGTAAGTAAAATAAACAAAAAGGAACATATGAAAACAGAGACTGATAGATGTTAATAAGGAAAATGTCAGACAGCCATGGAAGAGACAGGAAACAAATAGAAATTGAAGAGAAATTCAAATGTGAAAAAGAGACAAATCAAAATGAAAGATTCTATGACTGAAAACATTTGAGGAGGAGGTGCAGTAAAGTTCACACTCTGACCCACTTTCTAATATCTGACCAAATTTTTTTTTAACAGACTTTTTGGTTTGTGAAATTTTTGACACTCCCTTGTACACATACACTCACACAGATACATACATACACATATATATATGTATTATGAAATGGATTTAGTACAACAATTATTTAACATATTTTCTGTTTATATGCTATTTTAATAAATACAATTTATTCAAGTAATTGCTCTGGTTTTTTTTTGTGTTTTTTTTTTATTAAACAGTATTAAATACATTTACTAGCCTGAATGTTCAAGGCATTTTGTAGGAAATCAGCATTCTCCAACCGTAATTGAACCATATAGGATTTGATTACTGTTGGAGAACGCATATTTTCTGTAAAATCTCTCAAACATTCAGGCCAGTAAATATAATAAATATTGTTTAATAAAAAAAAAAGCATTTACTTAAATAAATTGTATCTATTAAAATCATGTATAAACAGAAAATATATTAAAAAATATTAAACAATTAAATATATTAAATAATTTTTTAACTTAATCTATTTCATAATGTGCTGTCATTGTTCACATTAAGGTACGTCTCTAGAGCAGATATGATCATTCGGGAAAGGTTGTTGAAGAATTATTGTTTAAAAACTTTGGACTTTGCTAACTAGATGCATCTCTATAGCTAAGTGGTATAGCACCTCAGATCAAATGATAATTCTGTACAGGTCACAGATTCAATTCTTGTTGGAGAATGCATATTTTCTATAAAATTTTTTGAACATTCAGGCCAGTAAAAATAATTAATGCTGTTAAATTAAAAAAACAGAGCATTTACTTAAATAAACTGTATGTATTAAAATAATGTATGAAAAGAAAATATATATATATATAAATAAATGCATGTGTATATATATATATATATATATATATATATATATATATAAATGTTTGTGTATATATATATATATATATATATATATATATATATATAAATGCATGTGTGTGTATATATATATATATATATATATTTGAATAAAAGACAGACCATGTTAAGATTCCATGTAATAAGTTATTTCACTATAACCCCTTTAACAGGGTTCTGGATCATCAGACTTTACTTCCAAAAGCTGAAATGAAAAATGAGAAGAAATTAATTTGAAATTCGTCAAATTAATTTCTTCGTAGATTGTTTGAAAATTTAGATATTTATCAAACCTTAACCTCCCAAATATGCACGTTAAAGTAACGCGAACTGACAGCGTCTAAGAATTTGAATGAAACCTGTCGTGTAATTTATTGGGGTTGTTGGAACATCTCCCTGTAAGGTAGTTCTTATCACTCACCCCTTAACCACCTTTATCTAGAGACGATGAGACGCGTTAAATTTGAGCAACATCCAGCTTTTGATTAATAACTGGGGTTAAAATAGGAAACTAAAATGATACATATGACACACTCCATATCCTCTCTCCCACCTCACTTCCTCACTTCGTTAACTTTATGTATACTTGATGAGGTCTGTAAAAATATATATATAAATGTGAATTTTCTATATTTTTTCATTTTTCATTTCAGCTTTGGAAGTAAAGATCATTTGATGATCCAGAACCCTGTTAAAGGGTTTATGGTGAAATAGCTTATTACATGGAATCTTAACGTGGTCTGTCTTTTTATTCAAACATATATGCTCTGAATTTTACATTGAGCTCTCTGATATCATCCTCCTCAGGTCATATATCCATATATGGATTACATATATTATATAAACTATATATATATATATATATATATATATATATATATATATATATATATATATATATATATATATATATATATATATATAAATGCATGTATATATATATATATATATATTATTCTTAAAATACGTTCGCCTCCCCTATACACCCCTACATTTAAGTTACATATTTGTTTACTTCATTACCATATATATTTACAATACATTTGCACTCCCATTCCTTACTTTTTTTTCTCCAAACTCAATTCCTTTCTATGACACTGAATATCATGTTTTTTGGTTGTCATGTGCCTGTAAATTTACTTTGGAAAATAATTATGTAGCGTTCCTTGTGTTTTTTTTAAAAATAAATCATTAAGGTGGTCATTTTTAAAAATATCACATATATGAAATGACCGTCAGGTCAAAACCAAATATATTGCATATATTAATTGACCTCCTAATTTTTTATAATATATATATATATATATATATATATATATATATATATATATATATATATATATATACATATATATATATATATATATATATATATATATATATATATATATATATATATATATATATATACATATATATATATATATATATATATGCACATATATATATATATATATATATATATATGCATATATATATATATATATATATATATATATATATATATATATATATATATATATATGCACATATATATATATATGCATAATCATATTTTATCATACAATGCACATATATAATTTACATTGGACTGGTCATGTCTTGAGAATGTCTGATGACAGGATACCCAAGATCATATATATATATATATATATATATATATATAGTCAGTTATAGATCATATATATATGCACATATATATATATATAGGAATGTAGGACGCCCATATATATGGCCTAAGATACAAAGACAAGCTGAAAAGCAACTTGTCACCATATCAATATACCACATAACACACTTGGAGCACATATATAATATATATATATATATATATATATATATTTAGTCTTGAGCATATAGAATGGAGGTCATATATGTTTTATATGGTTTGACACATATATAATATATATATATAATATATATATATATATTGCAATTTTCAATTGGCTTGTCTGAATTATCTTCAAGAAGTGAGAGAGAGATATAAAGATATATGCACATATCTAACAGTCATCTCATCTCACAATCCTCACACTTGCTCCATATGTGGCCTCCTTTGTAAATCACTAGCAGATCTTAAATACCACTTAATATTTCGCACAAACTTTATATAACTGAATCAATAATATATATAGATCCTCATATGTCGAAAATGACTGTATATCCATATATATTAATAGTCCATATATATATATATATATATATATATATATATATATATATATATATATATATATATATATATATATATAAATATGGTATATTTAAACAGCATATATAATATATATATATATATATATATTATATATATATAAATATAGTATGATTAAATATATATATATATCTGTATGCACATATATATATATATATATATATATATATATATATATATATATATATATATATATATATGAATTATTTTATATATTTTCTAATTTTCATTTAGATTGTCATGTTTGAGAAGGTGTCAGAAAAGCAACTTGTCACCAGTCAATATACCAAAGTCTTGGAGCACGAGAATGGAGGTCAATGGGGATAAACTGTCCAAAGTCACATCCATATTTTGTAAATTAGCAATTTTTAAATACCACTTCAGATTTCGCACAAACTTTTGAATCAATAAGCTGTCAGATCCTCATATGTGGATAAACTGTCCATTATTTATATATATATATATATATATATATTATATATATATATATGGTATATTTAAACAGCAAGTATTTTGCTGATTAAAGATGGTCTTGCTGAATTTATTTTTTAATTTTCAGATTGGGTGTTAAGTATTTTGCTCAAAGATGTGGATAAACTGTCCAAAGTCATAATTTTGTTTAATTAGTTTTGGCTTTTGCTGTTATTATTGATTGGTGTCTGTGTCGTATTTAGAATTCCTTTCTCTGCATCCTGCTATTTTTTTGTGAAGCTGGACTTTTGAAATAGTTTGCAATGATTTCATGTATAAATTTCTACTGGGAACAAGGCTGGACAAAAAGAATGCAATTTATTTATTTTATATTTTAATTTGTTAATTAATTTTTTGTTATATAATTTATTTTTATAATAATAATATACACACTTCAAGATCCAATCTCCTTTTATTTAATGAAAGCTGTTTTATTTTGTAGAGTAATAACTTCTGGAGTTCTGAGTCTTTCCTTGCATAGGGTACTGTAGAATATTTTGGTGTTATCTACTAGTATTTGTCTTATGTTGATAGTTGTATTTTGGTCCTTCATGGTATCCTGGTTGATGTGTGCATGTATTATACTGAATTTCAACAGGTGACAGGTCAATCTGCAAAAACATGTGGTGCATGCATGTCCAATATAAGTATTTAATGTTATCTTTTGATTATTAGTGTTGGAGATGCAATCTCCCACTGGGCATGAGAATAAAAAAATGCTAAATATCATGGACAGAATGTATGTAAAAATCAACACTGAGCTCAACACCAAGCAATGAAAATCGATTTCTTGCAGTCTTAATGTTTCCACTTACATACATCGATTATATATATATATATATATATATATATAAAATCTGTGTCAGGTCCAGACAGCCCAATCTCTGTAAACAGAGGGAATGTCTGTCTGGGCTTGGTGTTATTTCAATCTGATTGTACTGCCTTTAATACATTACTCATATTTTATATTTTATAGTGTGACATTTATTCCCTCCATTCCAGCTCTATTGAGTGAGGGTGAAACTGGTTGCCTTTTTTTTTAATAGTGAATGGTAAAGTTAGTCTTGCCTTTTTTATTTTCATAAAATATATAATATATATTAAATACAGAAACAAGGTCTGTTTCTATAATTTTTTATGAAAAAAAAAAACTAATAGAACTAACAGTAATTACATCTAGTGATTTCAACAGTAAAACGATAAGACCTAGTAACCAATCTAGCAGTAGAAAAGAAACAGTGAAGCCATATCACAGCAGTGGGGATGCAGCTGAAGTTGAGATGATAGGTCAGGACCAATTCAACATTATATTATCTGTCTATCTACTTGTGGTTAAGATTGTAACCACCAATCCTGGTCATATTTCTCTCACAGTATAGGTTAAAGAAGTCCATTAAGAAGATATATCCTTGTCTTATATCCCTTTTCCATCTGTATAAAGGTAGTTTACCCCAGGATAAGTTCTGAATTATTCTAATATCCTTAAAAAATATGTTATGATTATTTAGCAGCTCCAACAGTTCTTTGAGAAAGACGATCAAGCACTTGTACAATCCATAAAACATAGGTATACATCCTTTTGCATTCCTATTTCTCTTTCTGTTATAATTCTGAGTATAAATATTTCATTCCTCATTCTACTACCTTTAACAAAACTGCACTGTTGTTGTTCTGTTTCTGGTCTAATTCTGCTGCTTGCAGAATTTGGTTATAAATTTTGATATACAATTCATTAGATTGATTGTCTGATGGAGTTCATATTTGTTTCCAACTTGCTTCTTAGGAAGCACTTTCAAAAATGGATCAACTGAGATCTTCTGGTATTTCACCACTGTTGTAGATTTCATTTATTGTCTGTAATCTTGCCAATGCTGAAATCATCTAAGGCTGCCAACATCTTTATTATCAATGCATTTAATTCTACTGCTTTGTTTCTATTCAATTTGTCCAGTGATGATTTCCCTTCAGATTTTAATAGTTCTTATCCTTCGATATTTCTGTGTACTGCAGGTTGTACCTCTTTCATCTTTCCTAAAATGAATTTTACTCAAATAAATATGCTAGCAAACACATATTTTTTTTTTTTTTATATATATATATATATATATATATATATATATATATATATATATATATATATTAAAATTTAAGAAATGGCAGGTATTTTTATATATAGTACTCAGTATAAATATTAAAAATGGAGCATTAACAATATTATATAAAAAAGATTAATTAAATTTAATATCAATTCCTTGTTGTTTTCCCTGACTTTGAAATTTCTTGGTAATGACAATTCTTCAAGGGGTTCTGTTTATACCTATTTTTGTGCCTCTTCTGTGTGTGTCATACATATATTTGTGTATCTTAAGTATGTGAAAAAACTTCTAGCAATTTATAATACTTTGTCTATTTCTGAGATGAGGTATTATGTACACTATTTACATTATTTGGATTATTGTCCTTATTCAGACTATTGTTCTCATCTTTGTTGGCATATCTATCACAACAAGCTGACAAAGGCAATGCAACTGTAGTAATTGACAAATTAGATTATACAGGAAAGCTGGAAGACCTTAGTAGAAATAGTAGCTACAGCAGCAAATTAGTCCTACAATGAAAATGGAATGCAAACTGTCACAGATACTAATCAAGAACAAGGATCACTTCGCACCTAAGATGTATAGGCAGTTGTCGCAGTGTTACACCAAACAACCTCACAGATACAATCTCCCTAAGATTCACAAAGACGGTATTCCACTCGGGCCAATAGTAAGTTGCCAAGGCTCTGTGTGCTACCCTCTGAGTCGCTTCCTTGTAGATATAATTAACCAATTAATAGGAAAGTCACCTTCATATGTCCAAAACTCTGCCCAATTTGTGGAAATAATCAAAGATGCCCCCATCTTATCCAACTAGATGATGAGCTTGTATGTGGTGAGCTTGTTCACCAAGGTACCCACAGAGGAGTAACTCTCAGTAGTCAAAGAGAGATTGGCCTTTGACTCATCCCTAGGAGAACACACCCGCAGTCCAATAGATAATCTTATGGAGATGTTGACTTTTTGTACACAAACAACATACCTCAGAATTGGATCACACATATATCAACAGGATGAGGGCTTAGCAATGGGCTTGCAATTATCACCAGCAATGGCAAATATATACATGGAATACTTTGAGAAAATGGCATTAGAATCTATATCTTTAAGGCCAACTCTATGGCTAAAATATATAGATGACACATTCATACTCTGGCTACACCAAGAAGATGTCCAGGTTCTACTGGACCATGTGATCTCAATAAGACCATTGATACCGTTCACAATGGAGAAAGAGAGTAACAACACACTCCCATTTCTCGAAGTTCTAATATCTCAAACAGAGCATGGGTTCAAGGTATCTGTATACTGCAAACTGACATTCACTGGACAGTACCTCAATTTTAATTCCCACCATCCATACAATGTAAAGAAAGGGATTGTCTGCAGCATACAACACCAAACAAAAGTCATAAGTGGCAACCCAGAGACATTAAATAAAGAATTGGTCAGTATAAGCAGTACCCTATAACGTAACAACTACACTGGGTATATGGCAGCAGGCCCAATAAAATGGGATAGGTGTGTAGATGAGGAGGAGGACAACAACACTCAGAAAACAGTCTGCCTGCCTTATGTGAAGGGGTTATTGGAGAAAATACAAAGGATCTATGGTCCATATAACATCAGGACAACCTTCGGAAGTTGAATGACATTTTGTAGATAACTCTCCCAAGTAAGACCCCCCCCGCCCCTTAAAGGAAAACATGAAAGTCTATGGGTATGCCATCCTGTGCAGCTGCGTAAAGAAATACAAAGGGGAGACAGGCCGCCCCCTTAAGGTAAGGCTTCAAAAACACCAAAAAGCTGTAACATGAGGGGAAGTGGAAAAATCAGGCATAGCTGGCCACATATGGAGAGAAAGGGGAGATCACCACCCTCTGTGGAATCAGGTTGAAATCCTAGACAAAGAATATTATTGGAAAATTCATAAACTTAAGGAATCAGCAAATATGCTATGCCACAAAAATCTCCTGAGCCAACCAAACATAGAAATGAATACAATATGGGAACCAGGAATAAGGAGTGCCAGAGAAAAGCAATAATAACAATCAAAATTGCAATATGAGTTCTGGTAAAAAATCATGCAATGATAACAGCAAAAATTGCAATATGAGCACTGTTAAAAATGGTTGCTGAAGACATTAAGTTTATAAGTCCCAGAAATTCTTACACAGACGTCTTTAAGGACACAGTGGATAAATGTGTTGGTTTGGTCAGTGACGGGACCCAAAGAGTTGTGAGTTCAATACCTGTTTAAGGCAGTGTAGAACTTGGAGATATCTGATAATTGACATCCATTAGACATGGCATATGGAACTAGAACAGTCTACCCCAGCTAGTAAAATAAAGGGTTCAGTTTGACATTGTAACTACCTTAAGAAGGAGCATACAACGGCCAAAACATTGTGATAAATATAACAAGAAAGGTGAGGAAAATAATCCAAATAATATAAAATATTTATAATAATATAAAATATTAATAATAAAATATAATATTTTGTTAACTCTGATATAAATAGATGAAAATAAGTGGAGACACTGTATTTGGAATGTTGGTTGGAAATTTCACTGAACAAAGTACAACGTTTCTTCAGACTTTCAAGACATTATCTGCATGTGGATTTGCAAAAATTTCTTGATTTCGTTGAATTTGTTTTACAACTGAGAGTATGTATAGTATCATTTACATCAATCTCAGATGTAAGCAAAAGTTTTGTATAACCATTTACTAAGCAAGAGAGGAGATACTTACTCTTGTATGGAATGCAGGCAGATAATTGCAAAGCGTTCGGCCAGCCACTGTCAGGTTTTGCATAACTAATCTGCAAAAAAAAATATAATAATGAAAAGATTTTAAAATCTGAAAATTCTTAAATAAAACTTTGTTACCAAAGATGTTCATAAGACAAATTACCCCCACTGTTACGGCTCTAAAACACATCATATTTCATATAGAAGATTAATCCATCACTGAAACTATATATGTTTGACATATATATATATATATATATGTATATATTAAGAAATGGACAAAGTCCGACAACAGTATTAAATAACATTTACCGCCTGAATGTCGATGTATGTTTGATTAAATTTTCATAGAAAATATTAGATTATATATATATATCCTTTGACAGGATTCGAACCTTATGCATCATTTATATATACACGGAACTATATATACAAAATCATTTACGCTGAGATTATATATATATATATAATATATATATTATGATTATATATTTTGCACCGTTAAAACATCGGCCACAAAATACTGTTTATTATAAATTATATATATATATATATGTATCTATATATAAATAATCGTTATATATATATAAAATATTATATATATATATATATATTATATATATATATATATATATATATATATATATATATATATATATATATATATATATATATATTATATATATATATATATATATATATATATATATATATATATATATATATATATATATATATATATATATATATATATATATATATATATATATATATATATATATATATATATATATATATATATATATATACTATTATATATATATATATATATATATATATATACAGTGATGAGACAAAGTTCTTAATCTAAACTGCTTCTCAAAATGTAACCAAACATCATTTTTTTTTAAAATAGAGAATGTTTTAGTATATTTTTAAAACTATCAAAAATATAATGTGCTCAATAAAAAAAAAGAAAAAAAAAAGCATATTTTACAATTGTTTATGAGATTTGTATAGAAAGTATCAAGCAATTTTGAATTTATCAGCAACTGTTTGTGCAGCCCGAATATAACTGGACAATTAATCCCAGAAGGTATCTTTATTGCACATGCATTAACAGATACTCTCCCATTAAGTTACTCATCTGGCAGTGACATGTCATTGATTGATCTTGTGTACTCTGTAACTATTGCATTCATTACAACAATGAATTTGCATATTATCCATGCTCTTTTCATGAGTTTTTAATAAAATATGACATCACTCAATGTGTCAACCTCGAAATTTGGTTTTTTCTGAAAACTAAAAATTGATGTTGAAAAAAGTAACCACAGATGAGATTAAGCAGCTGATAGCAATCACAAAGGTGGCTATTGCAGACTGTTTTGAAAACTGGAATGTTTGCTGAGGTAAGTGTGTAAAGTCCCAGGGGAATTATTTTGAAAGAAATGCTGCCATTACCCAGGTGAGATTATTTTTTTGCTTTTGTTTGTAATTGTTGGACAAACTTTGTACATTATTTACTAATAATGTCATTGGTTTAAAAAAAAAAAAAAAAAAAAGGATATCAAATACTTTAATTATTGCTTTTATAAGAATTTATAAAGTTTTTGTAGTTTTTCAGTTCTTTAACTGAAAAAATGAGTAGCAAACTGAAAAACGTATTTTTTTTTAATCAATTCCCCCCAAGCAAGGTAATAACGCCACTAAGATACAAAGGGTTACTAGGAGTGAAAGCAAATAAGAAGACTTTAGAAAGAACTCTAAGCCTTATCCTAAAAAGGAAACAAGGAGTAAATTTCCAGTGTTGTTCAAAATGCCTGGGAGGAATATGAAGTGGATGATAGGCAAATCTATCTACTCTTACCAAGGAAATAATTATAGAAAAAAAAAATTTGGGGTTTATACAGAGATGTTAAAAGTACAGAGTTGAAGTAGGCTTTAGAAGGAACCAGAAACATAATCGTAAACACAAAATAAGGGATAAACCTCTCCACTTGTTCAAACTGCTTGATTTTCCATTTGGGGTTGTCATGCAAAACCCACTTTTCATCACATGTAACAATGTGATCACTAAAAAATTAAGGTTAGCCTTTTACTGCAGCAGATGGTAGACCTTTGTGAGAACAGCACACCGCATTCTATGAGTTAATGTATATGAAATTACAGAGAATAAGAGAATTTATAAACAGCAAGATCTTACTACCAAACTAAAACTGGATTTTGTGCTAAATGGTGTCTTTCTCTTGATACACTAGTTTAAATATATTTGTACAAGTTTCATTAAAGACAAATGAAATTCTTTGGTAATGATGCTTTGCTTATTTATTTATATATTTCAGACACTTGTTACTTTTGAAAATATGAATATGCTTTTTTGATCATTGAGTACTTTCGGCTTTCAGAGACCATTATTAACAAGTTTTTTGTTAATATTGTTGTGACTATATTCAATGTTTCTTGTGCTATGTCAGGTTCATTTTTTTTTAATATTGCATCTTCGTACATCTTGTCGGTTTTAACACACTGACTGCTAACAGTTATTAGTTTCTATTATGACGCCTGCTACCTATGATCTTGTGCCAACAATGACTTTACCTGCAGTGATACTTCTTTTAGCATGAAAACAATGTTAAGTCTTTGGTTGAAACTATAAATCAACTCCTAAAAAAAAAAAAAAACATTGCCTAAGTTGGCTATTATAATGTCGGAACTTGAAGTCAGATTTTATAAGAGACCTCTGGAGGTCAACATGGTAAACAACCCAAAATCAATAAACTCTTAAATTTTGGAACAAACATTTGTCATGCCTAAAAAAAAAATTTTAAAAAATTAAAATATAAAGAAGCCATAATGTTACATAGTGATAAATGAAGATTTGATAACTTAAAACATGACATGTGAGGATGAAAATGTGAAGAAAAAAGACTATCATATCTAATACTAGTAGTATAATAAGAATAAAAACAAAAAGATATTGATCATAGAGATCATGGCAGAATTGAATGCATTGCTAGGTTGGCTGCTAAGAAAGTTGGTATTGTGCTAAACAATATTTCTCTCCAGAATCTATCTTACATATCTATAAGTCTACCATTCGTCCATGCTTAAAAAATTGCTGCCACATGTAGTCCAGTATCCCTGTGATTTTACCTTGAGCTCCTTGATAAGATCCAAAGAAGAATCCGCAATATTATTAGTCCTGATCTGGTGGCTCTGCTTCAGTCACTTTCCCACCAACATAAGGTTGCCTCTCTATGCCTTTTCTATAAATACCGTTATGGTAATTGTTTGGATGAGCTCTTTGCTATAATACCAAGACTTTTTGAATTTAAGCGCAGTACGAGACTAGCATAGAGATCTCATCAATTTACAATTGAGCTGGTTAGAGGTAACTGTAAATTCTATGCTAACAGTTTCTTTTCTAACATTTCTCATTTGTAGAACTCTCTTCGGGCTCCATGCTTAACAGCCAACTTTAATCTGCAAAAAATTAAATGCAATGTCAATTGCTGTCTATTGTCTTTGTAATTGTTCTTTTCTCTTCCTGATCATTATTATGTTCTGTTCCTAATTCTTCCACACCCAGTGACCCCCCCACTTGTGTCTTAGTGGCTCCACTGCTTTACATGGGGTGATACGGATTTAAAAAAAAAGTAAAAGAAAGTAATATAACTACATGGCTTATTTGAATGCATGTTAGTGAATGTTACAATAAGACAGGCTCCCAAAGATTAAGGACATGAGTTCAAATCTTGCTCGAGGTTTATTCTTTATTTCCAATCGGTGGAGTAATAGAGAGTGGCTCAAATTGAGGAATCAGAGAGCCAAGTTTGAATTCCACTTGAATCTATTACATTCACCTACATGCTAACACCCTTACAAAAGGGTATGAATCCTTGTCTTCTCCCCCAACTATGGTTAAATAGCATGACAGACTAGGTTCTATAGCCTTAGATGGTAACTGGTCTACAGTAGAAAGAAATGGCAACCTACTGCAGGAAAAAATCTGCCTCATCAGTCATGTATCGAAAGATACATGATCGCCTAAGCATGTATCATGCATGGCACATACTGAATACATACTACTGACATAATTCTTCTACTTTTATATGCTATGTCCCTTCAAGAGGTGCATGATTATGACTCTCCACAAATCCCTATCCTTTGTATCCTTAATTAATGTTTGAATTCTTACTATCCCCTCCCTGTTCAGCCATCTATTTACACAAGCTCATTAAGAATATTACTCACAACTTACTTCTACTCCTTTTTCCTTCACTATCTTCTGTGAGTGTTAAGTTCTCCAAGCACTCTTTCCTCATTATATGTCCGAGAAATTTCAACTATTGCTCTCTGATTCTAAGCAGAATCAACTTTTTTGTTTCCATTTTTTTCTTAAAACTTCCTCATTATTCTCACACTAAGTCTATGGTATTCTCAGAATTCTTCTGTAGAACTATATCTGTGTTGCCTCAAGACTCTTCTTTATCCAAGAGACTGTCAAGCATTCACTGCCATATCAGAGGACCAATGTTAAATAACAGTTTAGCACACATTTTTCTTTGCTTCAAATCAACTTCTCTTGTTTCTTAATACTTTGCTTAACTTTTGAAAGGCATCTTTCAATATTCCAGTGTTGGTTCAGATTTAAAAGTTATATTTTCCATCTTCTGTCAAAACACTTCCAGATATTTCAATTTTCATAATTGCTTGATTTTGGTATCTTTGATTTGTAATCCACATCTTGGGATGTTCTGCTTGCTGACAAGATATTTACTCGTTTTTTCTCACTTTCCATTACTATTTTCTCTGTCAGTGATCAACATTGTATCACCAGCATATCTTATGTTAGTAAGATTGTGGGGCCCCCAGTATGTAAATCCTGGAAGGACTTTTAGTTCTTTATTTCTATAAAAATTGAATAAGCTTGGCATCACTGGGCCCCCAGTATGTAAATCCTGGTAGGACTTTTAGTTCTATAAATGTTGAATAAGCTTGGTGAGAAGATGCATTCTTGTTTTAATGGTCTTTTCTCTCCATATGCATGTGGTTTACTACTAATATA